TGAATCATGAGGGGTTATGAAGAATATGTAACATTGATGTTAGAAAATTATCTCAAGAAAAAGAATAGATACTACTCAAGTAAAGGGGTCAAATTCTCTTCCAAAAACTAATGAAAACTCCCCATTTGCTCCATTCCAGCATTTGAGCAGAATTATATTCATGCCTTGCTTGTCAGACATAATATCTACCTGTTTTATTAAGGGCAATGCAGGACATCTGCTTGGCCTCCCCTTTACTAATCTCATCTTAGATATATTTTTATTATGATAAAATAGCACTCATGTCAAAATGCCTAAGTATCATAGTAATAAATATATAATAAATACTTATATCTACAGTGAACCTTGACATATATAAGATATCATCACATGATTTATGTGGGTTTTTAAAAAAAGTGTTGGCTAGTATCCAGTCAAAGGAATGCATAAGATATTTATCACAGAGCATATTACAAAGGGAGAAAGAAAGAAAGAAAGAAAGAAAGAAAGAAAGAAAGAAAGAAAGAAGGAAAGAAAAGAAAGAAAAAGAGAAAGAGAGAAAGAGCAGGAGGGAGGGAGGGTAGGAGGGAGGAAGAAAGGAAGATATAAAAAGGACAAGATAACCCAGAGAGGTAACTAAACAAGTCTCAAGTCTTAACTTCCTCAAAGAAAACAATTTCCTTCCTCATGTTCCCTATCCTAGTACTTAATACATTATGTTGTATTACTGTTTACTGAATATTTCACTCCCCTGCTCCCCACACTATAAGCTCCATGAGGACACTGAATGTTATTTTCTTAGTGCCTAAGATAGCGTCTGCACAAAGCAAGAATTCAATGAGTTGCTAAATGGATAAATGCATAATAAATCAGTATTTCATTCAAATAAGTACTGAAGAAGTTTCTTAAAATTTCTGCTCATGTGGATTTGATAGAATGAATACGAAAAACATAGGTACTAGAAAAATTCTAGTTAAAATAGAAATTATTTAGTGTGCATCAATGCTATTCTATTAATACTATAACAAATAATTTAAAGAATAATGTTGTCATTGGGTAGGGGGCAGAGGTCCATGTGAAATTATCTCACAACAAAAATGTATGAAGACACTCAGGAAAATTTCTGTAATATCATTCAGATAGTGATACAACTAGAGATTTGCCCTTCTATTAACTATGCAGTGCTTGGAATACTCCTTCAAAAATCATAAAAATGGTCGAGAAACTGCCGTGTGTTTTGCTTTCATTAATCATAGTCTTATTTTACCAGAAAATCTGTTGCAATATTTAAACTTAAAATGAGCCCAGAAGAAAATTCCCAATACCCTCTTACTTTTTCATTTGCCATTTTGTATTTATGGGGAAAATTCTACTTTAGAAACCATTTCATCTTCCAATAAAAAAAAAAAAAAGGATAACCAGGAAAAGCAACAGTCTTCTTTTGATGCTAGTATAAATAAACTCTTGGGTTTTTTTGAAAAGGCTCACAAGTCATCACTGCAAGAATGTACCATACGTTAGCAACAGAAATTGTTTAATGCATTTCTGAATATTTTAAATGTCTCAAAAAAGCAAAAGAACAAATAATGCAAGCCATGACTTTCTTATGGCTAAACTTCTCAAAATACTTTCAGTGAAAATCGAATATTCAAACTGATGGAGCAGAGAGACAAATCATTCTAACGGGTTTTCCACTCACCTTTCTAGCTTGCCCCACTGTGTAGATATAACAATACAAATACTATGTAAACCCATTCCAGGGATATTTCTGCGAAGCTATTAAGGACTTACAACCTAACTGTATGAGACAAAATAACTCTTATGACACACAAATTTCCCATGTAAATGTCATTAAAGTAATAAGCAATGGGTAGGTAAATTATTTAGTATGGTAAATAATATTTATATTGTAGAGTTACAATAAGCAGGAATGACTGCTTTCATAAATGCATTCAAATAATAGCAAGATATGAGAAAGTTTTCAAAATTTAGTTAAGTCAATTCTTGTATAAACTCTGCTCTGAAAAGTACAGCTTTGCTTTTAATTCTTGTAAGGATTATTAGCAATTCAATCAAATCATTAAAAATTTCATAGCAGGAAGGACAACCATATTTCATAGGATGTAGGTTTAGGGATAAATCTACTTGTTTTTTCCTTCATTGTCACTGCATTTTTTGCTTCTCTAAATCTTAAAAAAGAACCATAAAAAAAGCTGAGGGAGCAAAATGAAAGGACATTTTCAAATATGTTATCTGTATACCTGTGTCTCTATGTGAGCATATATTTCCTGCTATAATAACTCGCTCAAGAGCAGGGACCATGTTTTTACGATACCAGCTATTTGGCTCTAGTTTGAAATGATTCGATACAGATTCATCCGTTATACCAAGAAAAAAATGACATAAATGAAAGTTTCTGTGGTTATTTCTCATTAATGGATATTCAAAATGGTTACAGTGTACATAAATAGATGATTATACAGAAACTCATTGGTTTCTGGCATCTAAGTTATGGCCCTCACATAACGTGAAACAAATGTTTTCATCACCTCATGGGGAAGGGTGAGCAGTAGCAATTCATTTCTTGACGGTTCTATTGTGAATACTTCAGAATAGGACAGAGATTCAATATTTTCTTTAGTAGATTCTTCTCTGTTCCTTTAGACAATTGAGGGCAGGTGAAATATTTTCAAAATCTGGAGAATACCCAATGTGCATGTACCATTGGATCAAACATATGGAATACATACTTGGAGAAAAGCCAACTGGAGACCTGCTTGAGTAATCTAAACACCCAAGCTGAGAGGGGCTAATATATAAAGATCAGCTTTATACTTTGAAGTTTTCTGGACTTCATTTTGCCTAATTGAGACAAGATTTAATAATCAAACCACTGTACAAACATGTACCTGAAAGTATACGTTTGTTTCTAATTTTGGGAAGAATTCTTAACAGATTCCAAGGAATCAGCTCCACATGGGAGAAGGTCTCTGATGAGATTTGCTTTTCTCACTGCTCAATGCAAATGCCTGCTTTTCATCTTGGTTTCTTCCATGTGACTGAGGTTAGCATCCGCCTGTCAAAATCTCAAGTGTGATACTAAAATATAAAGATTCTGTTATTAGTATACCACTGAGTCTGAAACACTGGCATCTCTAGGTCATAAAAAATGTATTTCAAAATATTCTTAGAAGTATTCATAGGAATCTGATGAACTTAATTCCAGATCAAAATATTATGAGGCAACGGGGTACGCGGGTGGCTCAGTCAGTTCAGCATCTGACTCTTGATTTCAGCACAGGTCATGATCTCAGGGTCGTGAGATCGAGCCCTGGATGGGGCTCTGCACTGGGTGTGGAGCCTGCTTAAGATTCTCTCTCTCCCTCTCCCTCTGCCCTTTCCCCACTCATGCTCCCTTGCTCTCTCTCTCTCTTAAAAAAACAAACAAAAAAAACAAACCAAACCAAACCAAAACATTATGAGGCAAAAAGTAGGATTTCCAATCTTTCTTCCTTCATAAATTTTTCGCATTAGTCACTGGACAATTTTTCAAGAATACGTAGTAGTTTTAAGTAGTGCTGAGAGACCACAAAACAAACAAACTGAACTCTACCATAATATAGTAAACATATGCAGGGCCACATTCAGGTCAACGAGTACCAGCCACTCCACAAGAAGAAAGTGGGTCTCCTCCAGTGAGACTGCTTTGATACAGAATAATTTGATAAATTTAGGGAAATGCTGTAGCAATACCAGCTCAATCTGATGATATATAAAGAGCATGCAGCATCGTGGACTACAGTGTGCAGTATAGTGAGAGATGGAAGGAAAGGCAGTGGCCACAGCCGTCCATCCCCAGCGCCCACTTCTCCATCCCTCCCCCACCCCCACATCATCTTTGCAGGCAGCAAAGGGCTGGGCTGGAAGGATTTCTGTTCAGTAGTATGGTCTTCAGCCCGTGCTCCCTTCCTAGCTCTGCCCTGTGAAGGTGGGGGCCGAAGAGAAGAGAAAAACTTTGCCCTGCCCTCAAGAAAGTGAGTACACAATGAAGAACCCCCTTTCTCTTATTGCTATTAGAAAGACGATTAGACCTTTGCCCATGAGGGGTTGCTTTGTTTCTATCATTATACAATAAAGCTTTTCAATAGTAAGCCAATTTTTAGCTACCTATCAGTAAACAGAATGTCATTTCTTAATAATCATACCTCTATAAGATACTTGTAGGTGATACAGTTAACAAAGGAGAGTGGACAGAATTATGCTCTTCAGGATGATAACACTTCCAGGAATGAGAAGACTCTGCTTTATAAACCTACCACAGAGGAGTGTAATGTCAAAACTTCGCAGACCAGCTTTGCTTATGAATTCATTGAAAATGTTTTACCGGCCTGGCCTGCCTGATATTGTTATATTGTAATCACTGTTTCTTTGTGGTTGCCTCAGCAGGAGAGCGCCTAAGGATGTGGTGTGATACAGACATCAGCTTTCCGTTTTGGCCACAATAAGGCTGCCAGAAAATTACCACACATTTCTGAGAAATTGCTTCAAACACAGCTCAGAATAAAGTGGTGCATGCTAAAAAATAAATAGAACATGGATACATAAAAGTTGCTGAGAAATAGTTTGTGGGCTCACCTTGTCATATCTGCCTGCACCTGTGTGAAAAACTTTTTGAGCTGTCGATCCACCACATTCAACTCTGCCTCAAGCCTTTTCTACGAAACCAAAAAATGGGGCTCTGCATACATGTGCCCCTATGGGCTTCTGAATTCAAATAGGTCCGCAATCATAAAAGACCTTACTAATATCTAACCTCAATGTCGCTAAAAACATCCTGTGAATGTAATGATGGTGAAAATACTGATTTTATGAGGCTGTCCCCGAGGGCTAGGATGGCAATCTCCTTTTGATGGTGATGCAGAGATACCAACATATTCCTCTTGTGTGCCCGGATCAGAGAAGAGAACCCCAATTTCCCCACTGGTGGTTGTGACATCCTGACTTTTGACTCAGGGGCTTACTTTGTTCATGTGGATCTGCTGCTGGTATTGCTTCTGCTTCTCCAAGAATTGCTGGTGTTGCTGCTGAATGACCAGCTGAGCCAACGTGCTCTGAGGCAGAGGTGCAGACTGGGTTCGATTCAGGGGTCTGTGCCGGGGTAATTTGTGGGTACCTCTAATGCCAGGTGAAATTCTCTCCTTTGCTGCCAACGGAGACTGAGGATGTAAGGGAACTCCACCTGAAAAAAAAAAATATATATATATATGTACACACATACGCACAATTTTGCTTAAGAAAAAGAAAAAAAAACCCACAGAAAATAGATATAGTAGATAAATTTGATGAAGACTAGCGATTCGACTGGGCAAACATCAGAAGAAGGCTAGGTTGTACAGGATGCAGGCAGAAGTGCCAGAACATGAGACAGGTATGCATCTGACCAGTGACTCACCAGTAGTTCACCTCCGTATGTATGAAGGCTAAATAAGGTGTGGTGTTTCCCCCACCATGTGTCCAGAGGAATAAATTAGAAGAGTAGCCTTTCCCACAATACCAAGTGTCAGGGAGACCCTTGTGTGACACTGTCAATCACAATCTGTGGGGGTCTTGAGCTAAAAAAACCTTACTTTGGAACACGGATAAAGTCCTAAAATGATCTGCGAAGGGCGCCATTATTATTTACCAGCCACAAGAAGCTTCTGCTGTCGCATTTGTTCTTTCAATAATAGATGCTGCAGGAGCGCCTGGTGGCTGCTGTTGGGCTTTCCCTCTAAAGCCACATGGGGATGGCTTGAAGATGCTGGGATGCTGCCCGTGTACTGCCCAGGCAGAGGGACGCCTTGTCGGAGCGTCTGGGTCTCACACTTCTGTTTTTCTTTGAGTGAATTCGAAGCCTGTGTCAAGAAATAATAAAGATGGTAATCCTCTTTCATCCATTAGGTCTGTACACCATTAGCGGAGTTTCTTATTCCGTAATTCTCCCTTCCTCCACCCAAAAGAAAACCCCATCTGACTGATGGCTGAGTAGGGAAAATGTACAAAGGCATGTCTTTTTTTTTTTCTCCTAGTTTTATTTTTTTAAATTGAAGTGTAGTTGACATACAATATTACACGCATTTCAGGTGTACAACATAGTGATTCAACATCCGTATACACTAGACGCGCTCACCATGATGAGTGCGGTCACCATCTGTCGCCAGATGAACTGATTACAATCCTACTGACCACATTCCCCTATGCTGTAGTTTTCATCCCTGTGACTTATTTATTTTACAAGTGGAAGTTTGTACCTCTTAATCGCCTTCACCTCTTTGGCCCAACAGTGTGTCTTTTTAAACTAACCGTATTAACAGACGAGAAATAAAAATAGGGTTGAAGCACTGGAGACAAGTTAGTATTGAGTACCACTGTACTGAACATAAGGATTTTTTTCACATTGAAAATAAAGCTAATTTCAGGCTTAATAACTGGGAAGTTTATTTAAAAAATATTTTAGTATACTGTTTAAGTAAAAAGGTATACTGGAAATGTAAAATCGATTCAAATTGCTAAACTAATGACTCTGTCATAGCAGTGATGAAGCTGGAGATAAAACGGTCTTGAATTTTGGAGTTTCAAGCAGAAGGAGCAATTCCTCTAATGTCCTCTAATAAGCTCACAGAGCTGTAGGGTTCCAATATTTAATTCTTAAAATAAAATTCTTCAGCCAACTCAATGAAAGGTTGTATAAAACATGCAGGACTTTGATTTAAACATGTATTTTGTATTAATTCATAACAGATCCCCAAATCTCTAAATATTGAAAATGACACTTCAGATACTTTTGTTTAATAAAATAAACAAGTGAAATTAGATCAAATAAAAATGTTATTAAGAACTTGAAATGTATGATAACACAGTAATAAGGTAATAATAATTATATCATCAATAGTAATAATGAATTATCCTATTCAAAGAATTTAATGAATGGAGGTCATTTTGGTATCACAAAAGCAGAAGTCTAATACCTCAAAATTATGTGGCATGTTTCTTTTCAAAACTCATGTTTCATCTTTCAAAATTGCTGTGCACCAGGGAAGCAAAGCAATTTTCAGTGATGGAGAAATTGAAGGACAAAGAGGTAAATGGTTTGTCTTAGTCACATGGCAAGTCAACGCAATGTTTAATCTAGAAGTGAGATTCCTTCTCCTGGCCTCTTTTCCTTAAAATTTCCCACTATTCAGTGGGGAAATGGAATATTAGAGATCCCTTTGCCAAAGCAATGCTAAGCTTGAAAAATTAATTGTGATGGCCTCATCCACACCAAAATGGAAGCAAAGAAAAATGAAACTTCAATCCAAACCACATTGGTTTATTCATCCAACGGTACCAAATTGTATTACCATTGAAACATTAAATGGTCTGGCGTTAGTACTTGGTCCTTTGGGAAAAAATTCTCTCTGACCACATTAAAAGTGGTGTATGTTTATGTTAGCTGGTAGGAATGACTTAGAACATGCAAAAAAGAGTGGAAATAAAATGCCTATTCATGTGTCATAAGAAGCTTTTGTGTTACTATTTGCTTATCATCATCAGAATAGGAAACAGAGGAACAGAAGAAAAATAATTTTTAATACGTGGAGATGTGAAAATATTATCCATGAATATTTATGTTCAGTTTCATCCCTAATTCCTTTTTTTTTTCTTTTCACTAGAACCAATGGTTTATAAATGCTTCATGTGGAATTTCAAGGGGGTAAATGAAATCAGTATTTTTAAGCCCTTCTTCTTCAATTCCAGATACAAAACAACATCCAAATTCTTCTTTTTCCTCACTGGTATAAGATTACTGTATCATGTAAGATAACATTCAACTCTATAAAAAATACCAAATATAACCAGACAGCTCTTAGATTGATTGTATAATATGGATTGAACCCAATTACAAAATCTACCATTTAATAATGTCAGTATAGGTATGCTCGTGCATAAATTAGCCCACCATACACAGGGCTTAAATTCTGAAAATCAATGAGGCACAAAATGGTCAACTCTTTAAAAATTTCCTGGTGTGGGCGTATTGTAAAAGATGTGAATTTGACAAGCTGGACTCCATGGAAGATGTCCTGCTAAAGTTTGACAAAACAGGTGCCAAGGGTTGAAATAAATTTCTCTTTAAACCCAATGTATCACATGACCTCTGCATAAGTACAACTTAATTTACTCACAGTTCCCAGATGAATTTTTCCAGGTAAAGCTTACAAATCTTTTACAATGACTAAAATTTATATTATTTTTGGGAATATGTATAAAATAACTATTGCTATCTTCTGCTAGTAGGACAATTACCTCCCAGAGATCCTATTTCAGATGTCAGGACTTTTAAAGTAATTGATTCACTCTGAACCTCCAGGGAAGAATTTAATATTGCTCTTAGAGAGGTTTTCCAGATATGTATTCCTTAGTACCACAGAGTCAGTAACTTAAATTCCGAAAATAAAGTCATTCATAAAATAAATTCTATAAACATATGCTGCTGTGCTTTGGAAGCTTTGCCTCTCAACACTGGCCTGGGTTGAGTCCTAAGACTGCTACCTAATGGTTCTGTGATCTTGGGCTTTTAAATATCCCAAGTCTCAGCTGCTTCTTCGGTAAAAATGTGGCCTGTACTCTCTGTTTCGTGGGACGGCTGTGTGGAGCTACTAAAATAATATATCTGGAGAGTGCTTTCTTTTTTAAAAGCTTTAAAACATCATATAAATGTTAGTTATTATTTTTATATAAATTATATACTGTGAACCAGTATAATTCTTTAATTTGAAATCAAACTGAACGTCTCTGCAAAACTTAGAGTGAAGTGAGGGAATTTTAGGAGAAGCAAACTACCAAGTTTCCCTGAAGTCTAAATATATAAGAAATGAAAGAGAGACCCCCCCAAAAATATCACTGGGCTGCTGTGTAATGACTTACGTTGAGCTGCGTGGGCACCGCCGGAAGCCCCAAGGTAATGTTGGGCAAAGAGGGAGAGGTATAAAGACTGAGCAGGTTCATGGAATCTTCATGAATTAGAATGCGTTGCTGGGACACCATTTGCTATTAAAAAAAAAAATGAAAAAGCAGTCTCAAAACATTATTATGTCATAAAATTTACTGTAAAATGTTCACGTTTCAGAAAATAGATTTTATATTATCATAATTAGTCAAAATAGTCAAGTATTTTAATTGTTTATTTTATAATTTCTGTATCCAAAAGTTGTATGTGAAAATTACATTAAAATTTTGTTCGTTAGACATAATCACAGAATCTGAGGAAAGGGCTTCTATGTTCAGCTTGCAAAATTCTTTTAAAAAATTCTACCTTTATCGACCATAATCCATGTGTGTGTCATCAGTTGGTAAAGTACAACGATTAAAGTGACTAATTCTTAAGGTTATATTTTTGTATTACTGAGTGATGAATATGTATGTAATACCACTATAATCATTATCTTTATATGGATTAAACATCATTTTACTGATGGGAAAACTCACACAAGAAAATCTTAGATTAGATATCACCATATAGGACTTCTATAATTAACAGTATTTTTTTAATATAAAATATATGAATAGACAACTCTGTGTGGTGCATGTTTAGATCATTCATATTCAGAAGCTAAGCTAAATGCTAAAATGTTACGAGTTCCCTGTGCCACAATAGGGCCTCATTTATCCTGAAAATACCTTGAATGTTTCGGCATCACAGTCATTTTTACAACAAATACCTTTTCTTAATCCAATACTAAGAGTCATGTTTTCCCACATGTGGCCTAATATGGTTGCTTGAATTACATTTTCTGTTTAACTCTTGCTTCCCTCCCAGAACTCTTATACAATAAGAGTTACAAAGGTCTTATTAGACTAAGGAACTCTGGCCTGATATGGTCCCCAAGGGAACAACATCCCTGAAAAAGAATACTCCATGTAACAGTATGACACAGTGACTGCTTTCTTCCCAAACAAAAAGCATATGGGACTCCAATAATAGACCACCTCCAAGAGGGATATTGCACACACGGGCTTTGACTAAAGTAAATATAATAACTTGTCAAGCATGTTTGGGGGAGCTGTAGATTTTCCCCTGGACAAACCTGGGATATCAATTAACTGGGGAAAATATCATGTGCTAATACAATGCAACCTCAGAATGTCACTGAAGAGTGATGCGCCACCAAAACACAGGATGTTATTCCAAAACATCACCTCAATCATACGTTTGTTTGGAGATGAGTCATAGCCTTAACATAATAAGAGCAGAAGGTTAAATGGAGATTTTTTTCTCATTGCAACTTGGAATTCCAAGCTAAGTCAGATTTTGTTTTTTCTCTAAAGAAGTCAGGTATTTGTGCATGAAAACCAAGAGGCATATTGAAACCTTTAGCATTATGTTGACTTTAGATGCAACCCTTTACAAAATTAAGGTTGTCTAAAATGCCATAGCATGAAGATTGCTGCGGAAGATTTTAGCATTACAATGAGATTGCATGACTTTAGGAGCTCTGAGTAGCAATTGCCTATTTGCTCTAATTAAAAAGGCAAGCTTTTATTTTGCTTACACTCATATGCTTTTAACATTAATTTCTCATTTGGAATATATGCCTGAACAAAAAGAATGTTTGAAGAAGTAAAAAATATTTTAGCTAGCTTATTAGCAGCAACTAGTAATTTACAATAAAATGGTATTTCATTCACTTATCTGTTTTCAGAGAAGAGAAATACACATGGGAAAATAAGCACTTCAAGTCATGTATAATATTCATTCCAGGTTGTATCTGCTCATCACAGCACTGAGACTGGACATGCACTGTGGGAATGGCACCAAAGACACCCCACAGGCCTCACGAAAGAGGTCATCTTTGTTTCCCAGAATGAACTTCTGCGGTATCTTCCCACCGCATCCCAGGAAGCAAACCTATACTAAAGTAAGAAAAATATTTCTTCTTGGATATATTGATAGCAGCAGCAGACTAGCTGCTCACGTGGGCTTTGACTAAAGTGTAGACATTTGGGAATATTCTTACTATGGGATTAAAACCCTGAAGTTTCCTATCAAAACTGAGAGGCTCCACTTGTCTGACAGGGTATTGATTTGCAGCCCCTACTGTGTGCCAAACCCTCTGCCAGGGACTTTTTGGACATTAACCTATTCTTCCTAGGCACTCTGTCACTATCATTATGCTTCAGTTACAAAGACACTGAGTGATTTCCTCAGTTCTGGTTCCCACTGGGATCAGCAATATAACTTTTAAACTGACCCAGGCCGTAAGATTTGTGGTCAGGTACCGCTGTAGAAGCTACACACCCCACTCTGTCGCCATTACTGAAGGATACGGGGACCATAAGGAAAGTATGGATGCGGGGGAAGCTTTAGAGAAGAAGAGGAAGCAAAATCAGGTCCTGAGGCTAACGGAAAAGAATAAATGTGTGCAACTGGGAACCAGCTGACCTGGTCACGGGAAGAACGTGAAAGCGCTGGTGACTTTACAGACATGAGAGTCTTCAAGTCATGGAGACAGATCCTGAGGAAACAAGGGAAGTCCTGAGTCCCCCAGGTTCACTCGGTACACAGCTGGTTCTTCCCACAGAGACTAACTGGTATAGTATCGTATCACGGAACTGCAGGGACGTGGACATTATTTAGTTCATTTCCTTCAATTATGGATAAGGTAACAGGCCCAGCATTTCCAGAGGATGACAAGAATCACAAATGACTTCACAGACCGGAAAAAATGTTTTCCTCAAATTATCTTCTTTATATACAACTTTCCTCAATGCGGCTTTTTGGTCAGCACAGTCTATCAGTCCCAGGTTAGTGTTTTCTTAGCAAGAACCTGGAGCTGTATTCTATCTACACTGCTAAAAGACAGCAGACACACTTGAAAGCCAACCCAACGGGGTGAGGTACCAATTCACTGAGAAAACGGAGGATCCTGACCAGCATTCTTACAAGGCTGGAAGGTTACCCCACCTTAGCATTGTGGTGAGATCACAAGCATTTTCGGGCAAAGCCAGGATTCTTTTCAGGGAGCAATTTTGAAACTGATCCGGCCCTTAAATCAAAGCTGTGCTAAAATGCCAATGTTTTACATCTTAGAACATGGAAAGGATGGTTTTAATCTAAAAATTTTTCAGAACCAGAAACTATTGCTATAGGTAGATAAAATGGAAATATTAAAGGCATAAATGACTATCTCTTAACATTCAGGAAACAATAAATAACAACTCAGTTGAATTAGCAGTGTGGCACTGGATGGTAGATGTACAAAGATGTCCTACATGACCAAGTTCATGTGCTACTTACGTGCACAGAAAAGTAGAAAACAAACTCTAATGACCTGTGATAATGGCTATAATTAGAATAGGGTTCAATCACTTCAGTGGCACAGAGCAGGGTGTCCATTTTATACCAGGCTTTGATAGGTAACTAGCATTTCACCAGAAGGAGCATAATGTGAAGAAGAGGGATATGATGGAGTCAGGTGTTGGGTCAGGGGAGGCCTACTCACATCTTAATGATGACCTTCAAAATGTTTTCTCACCATCAGAGCAACTGGAAGCCTATCTTATGGATAATATTTGAAATTCAGATGAATAAAATATGCTGAAAAATTATATGTCTCTCAATAGAGCTATTAATTTTGCCATTGAAATCAAGAAGCTATTCATTTCTTTTTTTTTTTTTAAGATTTTATTTATTTATTTGACAAAGAGATAGAGCCAGAGAATACAAGCAGGAGGAACGGCAGAGGGAGAAGGAGAAGCAGGCTCCCCGCCGAGCAGGGAGCCTGATATGGGTCCGATCCCAGGTCCCTGGGATCATGACCTGAGCTGAAGGCAGACGCTTAACTGACTGAGCCACCCAGGTGCCCCAAAGCTATTCATTTCAATGAAAAGACTCAATTTCTTACAAAAAGAACACTGGCAAAAATTAGAAAAATACAAAATCACTTCAAATGTCATAGGGATTTAGAAAGGTAAAAACCATCACATATTGCTGGTGGGACTGCAGACTGGTATAGCAATTCTGGTGAATAATTCAGGACAATAAAATAATTACACTATATATCATGACCCCGAAATTCTTCTGCTGGGAATTATATCCTCAAGAAATTCTCTCCTTGGGTGCCTGGGTGGCTCAGTTGGTTAAGCGACTGCCTTCAGCTCAGGTCATGATCCTGGAGTCCTGGGATCGAGTCCCGCATTGGGCTCCCTGCTCAGCAGGGAGTCTGCTTCTCCCTCTGACCCTCCCCCCTCTCATGCTCTATCTCATTCTCTCTCTCAAGTAAATAAATAAAATCTTAAAAAAAAAAAAAAGAAAGAAATTCTCTCCTTAAGCTCTCATTCATCATCATTTAGGATGATGTCCATGAGTACACACTGAAGTAGTTTTTGGTGGAGGATGAGAACTGGAGGCCACTGGGGCATCCAACTGGAGAATGGGTAGGTAAAATGGAGCACTGCCCACCATGGACTGTTACGGTGATTAAAAGCAAACTATTAGGTATCTGCATCCATAATGACATGACTAGATCTAAAAACATATGCTTAGTGATAAAAATAAGAAATGGAATGAGATTGATAACACCATGCCATTTATACCCACTAAAATTCTTGGACACAAAGCAGAAAATGCATATGATATAAGAGCTCATGCAAACTAAAATACAGGAGATAATGACTGCCTATGGGGGCAAGGAGAATGAAAGCGGGGATAGGAGATACAGAGGAAGGAAGGAAGGAAAGTAGCGAGGGAGAGAGGGAAGGGGGGAGGGAAGGGAAGGGAATACTTTTCTCACTCTTAAGACAAAGAAGTCAACGGATGACCTTTGACAGAACACTAGTTACGTAAATAATCACCTACTTTTTAAGATGCTCATAGAAAAAGTGGATGTAGAATTTTAAATTTACTACATGTTCAAAATTACCTACAATATGCATGAGCATCAGAAAAAGAGTATAAGTATCTACAGAGTTTTGGTGAGGAGCAGTGGGGACTGGTGAAAGGAAGTGTGGTCTCAGTGCCCTGCACTTGAACTCTACCACTCACTGGCTTA